ATCTTTAGGCTATTCACTGTTTCTTAGTCCAACGTCACAAAGTTGTTGTGAGAAAAACGTGAAGGACCAAAAGCTTTCCATTCCATCTTGCACTCCTGGAAAAAAAGAGAACATATATATCAAATAAATAAACAGTTTGTCTTAATTTTCATTTGTTAACCATTATCAGAGTGTAACTTCATGCATGTATCAAGTCATCATGTATTGTTCCACAAATTGTATGATGTGTGAACCCAGCCATATTATACCATTTCATTTTGATGGAAAACCTCTAACACAAATTTTTAGCTTTCCCCAAATCATTTCTATAAGTGGGGCAAGATTTAAAGACCATTTGCCATTAGGCAGTTGATGAAATCCTGATTTAGATTTTAAGAAATGAAGTAAAGACATTAGAAAAGACCATTAGGATGCCATAATGTTGATTAATAGAAAATTGTAGATATGGAAATAAGATTAAATGAGTAATGTAGCAGTGTTTAGTACAGGTCCTTTAGCAAAGTTCGTTTCAACTCTGTTATTCTGTTAAGATAACAAATAAGAGATGGAATATAGAGACAACACAGAATGAAAAAAATTACCTCATATATACCTATCTGGGTTATTATCCTAAAGAACATTATATGATACTGAGCTCATGGGGGGAGGGGTTAATCAATATAATCCAGATAGCCTTCTTAAACTTTAATTGTTTCATCTAGAACCTATAAATAGGAACATCTAAAGCAGATATGTCAAACTCACGATGTCACGTGACATCATGAAAATGTATCGGGCCAGTTTTGCCATTGCCGGCAATGGGATGGTATTGTTCAGTATAATGAAACTGGCCCACGGGCCGGCAGTTTGACACCCCAATCTAAAGAATTCATCTTTTAAAAATACTGTCAATTAATAGTATCAACTTTTGGGGAAAGAAAACTTCTCCAATTGTTGTATAACAAGCCAGGGCTCTATAAACACCTGGAACTGCAAAGGACCAGCTGAGACATAGATCTCACCAAAACACCTGGCCCTGTCCTTTAATTCCAATAAAAATCTATATAGCTGTGTGTGTGGACAATTCTTTGCTCTTTATAAACAGACTGAGAAAAGCCATTGGATTACCCAAATCTTAAATTTTTCCCCCTCACATTAATAGGATTGATTCATCTAGTTTCTCCAGCACCTTACTTTTGAAAAAAAGAAAAGAAAATTGAAATCCATTAGACACAAATCAGTTCTCTCTCTCTTTCTCCTGAGGACTCTCACAAAGCACATTAATTGTAAACCATTCACTGGGTTTTTTTCATCTTAGTCTTCATCTATGATGATGATGATGATGACATTTTTGAATTAATTTTTAGAGAGACATTCTCACATGTGACTTCTGGGTCGATAGCCAATTTCCATACTTTTCTAACTCATAAAAATATCATAAATATGACTGTCCTGGTGCTCCAGTGTTGGCACCTTCCTCTGAGCCTGGGAGGGGAAAATGCCACCATTTCCTGGAAAGGAAATTCAATGACGTCTCCACAATTATTCCTTTTAAACGTTAGCATTGGAAAGCTCTTTAGCGCATACAGTACAGTCCTTTCTTCATTTCTCAATCATTTAACGTGGTGTTCTTCTTTAAGGATGGGAAAGTATAAGGGGGATCGTTCAGGATGAATTTTGACTTCAGCTGAAGAGGGAGGTGGGAGGGAGAGTATAAGAAAGAGTTGTTTCTTTTTTCCTGGTTGCCTTTTTATTGGACTTAAATTTTAATTAAAGTTAACTGTATTTCTAGTCGTTGTCTTTTTTTCATTTGACTCTAATACAATCTTAAATGCATCTCACGCATTTAAGTGCGATCGTTTTCAAACACTACTTGCACAGCTCTCTCAAGCAGAAGGGAGAGATTCTGCTAGGACATAAAATCCTGGTTGGCGATGAGAAAATGATTTAATTTAGCTGTGGGTTGGAAAGCAGCCAGAGATGAATTCCTACGTTGTTCATTTCAGGAAAGATAAAAGTACCAAGATGAGTTCCTAGTTAATATTCAATGCATCTGAAAATTTGATATGTGATATTGTATTCAGAGAATTCATGGTGAGTGGGAGAATATCTTGGGTAAATAGCATTCAGTGTAGGGTAGCATCTGGAACTGCTGGTTACTTGGCCACACATTGTTTATTGCTGAAATAGCTGCTATGATGCCTCCATTAGTGTTTCAGGACAAACAAGAATACTATATTCTGCTTCATCAGCATTCAGTGGCTGATGAAGCATCTTCTATTTGCTGAGGTAGTAGAATGGAATAGTATTTGCTCTTTTTAAACATTTTCTGCATATTTCTGCATCTCTTTGTGCCTGAATATTATCGCAGCCTCACATGGATCTTGCAAATAAATAAAGAGAGGCTGAGTGAACAAACAGTGGCTACGTTTTGTCCTTGTTTCATTTGATTTATCAGAAAACCATGCAATATGTAAAGTGCCAGTCTATAAAATCAATTCTAAACCAATTCAATTACAGGAGTAACTAGGTACTGTATTAAAGATGGCTGATTTGAGTCAGCCCTGCTGTAGATAAATCCAATAAACTTTCATACCCTTCATCAAAGTGTTCTGACTACCCTATATTTTAAGTAAGTAATTCCCCATTCAAAAGAAATTTCCAGAGACCTCTGTTAAATAGACATTGAATAGACATATTTCAATCTGAAAAGAGTTATAAAACATTTTCTAAATTTCTGCAGCTTCACCCATCCACACAGAGTTGAGACAGCCATAGTTTGCAGTCCTATTTTGCCTTGGCACTGTTCATGACTATATCACCATTAAAGCATTGGATAAAAATGGAAATCAAAAGAAAATGGCAAGGCAAAAATCATGGATCATTATCAGGAAAATTGATGTTCATCTCAAGCTTGCCCTGAGAAAGCAACTGGGTGATCCACCAGAATTTGGGAAAAATATTCTATACACAGACAATATATTGGAGCTATATGGTGTCATAACATCTAGGGAAAACCAAGCAGGGGATTCCACAATAAAAACTTCGAATCCACTGTCAGGTATAATGTTATGCCTTCAGGATGATTTGCTGTTTTAGAACCTGGACAACTTTATCTCCTTAAAGGAAACATCAAGAGGAAATTCAGAACTTTGGAATGGTTAAGTAAGAACCCAGAACCAAACCCTCTAAAAATAGGTCATTTTCTGAACAGTTATTATTACTGTTGGTCACACAGTCAACCAGAAGTTCAGATTGGATTGGACCCAAGGACCTGGGTAGGTAGATGTTGTTTAATAATATTAATGTTATCATCCCTGGATGTAAGCTATTCCAAGTAAAACTGCCTTCTGCAATTTATTGGTGGTGATTTTGTCAATGCTGATGCTGTTGGTAACAGCAATAGTAATACTTTCTTTCACCACAGTTTTTCCACTTCTATTTGCAGATCGTTATAGTTTGTGATTTTTCTCCAGTTCTTTTCCTTGGGTTCTTGCTGTCTCCAAGTATTGCAATGTCTTTGCAAGACTTTTTTGTCTTTATTGACAATTGTTAAGTCTGGCATGTTATGTGGCAGGTGCCTGTCTTTTTGAATTCTAAAGCCTCAGAACATTTTAGCTTCTTCATTTTCTGTTACTTTGCCTGTTTCGTGGTTCCACCAGTTCTTGTTTGCAGGCAAGTGGTATTTCTTGCAGATATTCCAGTGCCCCATTGTTGCTACTTTGTTGTTTGTGACCAGTCTGTGTGATCTTGCAGCAGCTAAATGGGTGTTCCACTTATTACTAATTATTATTTGTTGGTTTTGCTGTTGTTAGATTTTTATCTTCTCTGTCTATATATCTTTCACCTATTTCATCAACTCAAGGCAACATACATGCTTTATTTAATATTCTCACCTATTTTCCTCATAGCAACAACACTGTGAGGTGGGTTGGACTAAGAGAATATGACTAGCTGAAAGTCACTCACTGTTACAGTCTCCTAGTTTGTAGACCAACACCACCATTATACCAAACTGGTTCAAATTGGTTTATTCTAGAAAATCTAAGTTGAAGCAGATCTCCATGGAATAGTGGACCAAAATTCTTACATAGAATATAAGAAACTGCACACCAATTTCAAGAAGTGTCTGCTATATAAAGGGAAGTATCTACCCTCCCTTTGTACAGCAGTAGAAATTGCATAAAATTCTGATCATGTTCTGCTGCAAAGACATGCAAAAATTCTAAAAACTCCAAAGGGGCAAATGTCAAATAAATTAAAGTCTACAAACAGTAGTTTGTGGAGCCTATATTACAGATTTTTCCCATAGCTAAAAATTCTCCATAGAAAATGCATGTATTGGTGACGGTTCACATTCAGTTTTAATCAAATTAATTATAAGGTGTTTTGTTCTTGAAATAGGACAGTCTGCTGTAATCCATCAGTTGATTGGACGTTTAGATTCAGACTCTGATATAGGTCAGATAAAAAAAACACCTTTTTTCTTAAAGCACACAGAGAAAATCAGATAATACAGGATGTACAAATTCATAAGAAGTGTTTTAGTGTTTTTCAGTGCCTTCTACTATAGCGGACTTAAATTCCATTGCCAATGCATTAAAATCATTAAAATGGAATATGCACTATACTCTATTTATATTTCAGTTTTAATTCTACAATATTAGCAAAACATAGAGTTAGCAAAAATAGTTTCAACCCAGCCCCACCCCATCTTTTGCCCCATCTGTCATCCCTTGTCCCTTCTATTTTTTTCTTTGGTTTGGTTATGTTTTTTTCTCAGGCTTTTCATCTTTGGCTTATTATTCCTTGTTTCTTCTCTGCATTCTCTAGCCCATTGGGGGCAAGTAACATTACAATGTTCGCCTGCCTGCATGAAAGGAATAAAAACCCCAAAGGTGACTTCAGTATAAGCTCCCTACATATTGTTTTGAAAAGGACTTCTCAAAATAAACACTGTCCTAAAGTTTTAGTAGTGTTGTTTTGTAAAACAACTAAAAAAAAATCTCCTCTAATTTTAGACTACGTACTTCTGAACAGAAGGCTCTGCTGGAGATTATCATTTAATCTGTGGCTGAATCCATATGGCGGATCTGTGAAGAAATTTGGCCTGATCCTGCTGTTGGAATGGTAAGTGGTGTTACACAACATTGTAAACTAATGTACTGACCAGAACTGTGATTAAAATTCTATGTATTAGCAGATCTGTAATCCCATGAGTGAGTACTTTGGCTGTGAAGGGATGTACAACTAAGTAGCCATTGGTAGGATTGTAATTATGTGAATGCATTCTGAACCAAGGAATTTTTTTTTAGCTGTGAAACAGATGCTTGAAATGTGTGTGTGTGTATGCATGTGTGTGTTTAAAAGAAGATAAACACTAATATAAAGTAAAAGAGAGAAAAGAGAGAAGAGAAAAAGAAAGAAGAGAAAAGTGCAAAAAGAAAAGATAAAAGAAATAGGAAGAAGCTTCTAATTTTCATTGCAGCAAATACAATTACAAAATTATCTTGTACTTTGTTGTTACAAAAATCTCTTTTTTTCTATTGTCTCGACTTTTTTTCTAATTATCAAAACCATGAATCATGAGTTCATATTTTTTTGTTTCAAACAAAAAGTCTATAAGGAATTTCCAGTCAACTCTACAGTAAGTGAAGATATTGTCTTTTCTCTAATCCAAACAGCCGGTCTAGTTATCTCTGAGTTCCATCATCTTCAGTTTTAGATCAGGTAGACCCAATCTTTTTCTTACCTCTCCATTTTATAATTCTTTATATTTAACTTATGGTTTTTTGCCCTGCCATACAAACATGTCTTTTTGCCATTGTTTAAATGGTGCCTCATTTGTCAAAATCCTGTTTCAGACAAATCAGTTATTGTCTGAAACAAAGATAAAATTCTAGTTAAAACATTCATCTTAATCACAGAAATTTTCTCCAACAGTGATAATAGTGCTTTGATTCATCTTAACATATCTGTTTTAACTTCATTCCCCATCTTAACATAATTATTTTTGAAATAGCACATAGTTCATAATTGCCATACCCAAATATTTTACCTTCTTTTCAGTCTAAAAACCCACTTGATTCATCAATTATTAAGCCATTCAGGGTCACCTTGCAAGGGAGATGTGTGGCATAAAAATGTAATAAATAAATAGATAAATCAATGAACAAACAAACATTTAATAAATAAAGATATTTGATCTTATATTTTCATATTTTTGTTACCATCTTTGTCTTTTGTTTATTAATCTTAAAACTTGCTAATACACTAAATTATTTTAATTTATCTATTATTCGTTCAATTCTCTTTAAAGGATCTTCCAGATGGGAGATTCTTGGTGCTCTCTAAGCTTGCTTGTTTTCTTGCAGACGCTTCTACGTAACATTATCACTAATGATCACTAGCTAGTCACTAGCACTGATAATGTTTTGGTAATGAATGTCTGCAAGAAAACAAGGAAGCTCAGAAACCACCAAGGATACCCCCCCCCATTTCAACCCTGAGCTACAAATATTCTCCTTTATTGGATCTTCCAGAACCAACACCAAATCATCTACAGAAGCTCTTAACTTATGTGTCACTTTTTAAAATCTATCCACAATCCTCCGATCTTGCCTTATGTTTCTTTTCAGCATTTCAAGAACTAAAATAAACAAGAGAGACGACATAGGACAACAACAACAACAATAATAATAATAATAGTGATGATGATGATGATGATGATGATGATATGATGATGTTGGAAGGGACCTTGGAGGTCTTCTAATCTAACCCCCCTGTACCATTTCAGACAAATGGCTGTCCATTCTCTTCTTAAAAACTTCCAGCGTTGGAGCATTCACAGCTTCTGGAGGCAGATTGTTCCACTGATTAATTGTTCTAACTGTCAGGAAAGTTCTCAGTTCTAGGTTGCTTCTCCGTTGCTTCTTGTCTTGCCTTCCGGCGCTTTGGAGAATAGCTTGACTCCCTCTTCATCCTCAAGCACTTATATTACAAACTTGATAGTCCATTTGGTTCAGGCATCTTTCCTGGTTTTCCCTTTTTAATGTTTTCTGAAATTTTCCTTATTGTTATATGTCCCTTCATAATTTGCCTTTGATATGCTGTAGTCCTTGGTAAATTTTATTTTCTAATTGCTATTCTCCAATGGATTGATTATTTATTTATTTACTTATTTATTTATCCTTTACATTTCTAAAACACCCATCTCCCTCAGAGAGGAGCTCTGGGTGGTGTACAGTATAATATAACCGATAAATTATAAAACAATATATAAAAATTAACATTAACATTAAAAATTAAATTATGGTTAACATTTTTAAAATTAGGGAATAATGACAAACATCAAAAGGGGGGAAAAATCCTAAGATGGCCATTTTACATTGGATCATTAAAGTGTGGGGGGGCCGGCCTCAAGGAACTAGCCAGCCCGGTGGTGTTATGGTCTTCTGTGCCTTCCACACAAGGCCACAGAGCCAGGTTTTGTCACCTTTGCCGAAGGCCAAAAGATTGGGGGCTTTCCTCACCTCTGGAGGCAGGATGTTCCGCAAAGCAGAGACAGCAGCAGAGAAGACTCGACCTAGACCTATAGCATGTCCTTCATGCAAATTAGAATAATACTGTTTTTTTATATATAACCATGTTATCCAGTAAAATAGTATCTCCCTCTTGTAATTTCAGTATTGGTTTCTTTTCTCTTTCTTTTACAATTCAGATGCCAACCATTTCCCTGGTTTATTTGCATTTTTTTTGCTAACTTCATTTTTATTTGTAATTCTTTTACTGCTCACATAAGATCACTATTGCTGAAAAATCTTAATTTATTCCCTGGGGAATACTTTAATTATTCTTCTTTCCATTTTATCCAAAATATTTTATGTTTCCTCTTCCTCTTAGATTCAAAATTATGTTGATCAGATAACTTTCTTTTTTTTTTTCAGTACAAATTTTTATTGAAAATTTTTTAAAAACTTTTACAAAGACAGAAAAAAAACAATGACAACTACAATAAGACAAAAAAAAAACAATACAACCCTCCCCCAACCCTTCCCAAATCACCCCCTCCCTCCCCCCCGAGCTTCCCAGAGCAGAATATAGGCTTAATTAAAAGAAGTTAACAAAATTATAAGATAATTAAGAAGAAAATATATATGAATAAAGAATTATAAACCTTAAAAAAAATATTTAAAAAAAAAACAAAGAAAAGAAAAAAAAAGTAGAGTTTTTATACAAGTTATAAAAAAAGCTAAATGGTATTTTTTCATATCCAATTTAAATTGTATAAAATTTATCCATTTTTCCCATACAGCAAAAAATTTATCTTGCGTTTGCTCTTTTAAGAAAGCCGAAATCTTTGCCATTTCCGCCAAATAAGATACTTTAAAAAACCACTCTTGCAAAGTAGGCAAAGATTCCTTCTTCCAATATTGACCTACTAGCAGCCTTGCGGCTGTAATCAAATTCAACATCAATATAACCTCCTTAGCATCACAATCAGTAACAATATCAAGCAAAAACAATTGTGGAGTAAATTTTACCCTCTTTCTAAAAATTCTCTGAATGTTCCACCATATCTTAATCCAAAAAGCTTTTATATTTTTACACGACCACCAAATATGATAATAAGTGGCATCCAAACAGCCACATCTCCAACATTTAGGCTGTAAGTCAGGATACATGAGAGACATCTTTTGTGGATCAAGGTGCCATCTATAAAACATTTTATAAAAATTCTCCCTTAAATTCTGGGCTTGTGTAAACTTAACATTCCTCACCCAGATAGTTTCCCAGGTATCCAGTAGAACTGGTTCACCAAAATTCTGCGCCCATTTGATCATACAATCTTTAATTAATTCTGATTCTGAATCCAGTTCCACTAGCACCCCATAAATTCTTTTAATATGAGTTTGTCTTTGATCCTTTACTTGCTTGAAAAGATTTTGATCTTCTCTAAGCAAACCTAAATTACGATCCATCTTCCATCTATCTAATAGTTGTCTATATTGAAACCAAGAATAGGTAATATTTTCATGTAACAAATCTTCCAAAGATTTTAACTGCCAATTTAGACCATCCCATCTAAGTAATTGTGTATAAGACACCGTATCCATTTTAACACCTCTCTTTATCCCCTCTATCGCATGCCAAGGTATGGCCCATAATGGTATTTTAAAATCACTTTTAGATCAGATAACTTTCAATAAAGGTTTTATTTGCATTTCAAACCGTTATTATATCCATGCCTTTATTTAAATTAATTTCAAAAAACTCTTAATTTGTTTTTACAGTCTACAACAATTGCTTCTTTCCATGAAAATTCTTCATTTAATTTCCATCTAAAATATCTAGATTTTCTTTCCCTCCCTAGATTTCCCTCACAATAATCTGAAAAAGTATTTGGTAAAAAATCTCTATTTTAAGCTATTAGTATACTATTGCCACAACGGTCTAGTCTCTTTGACTGGCTTACTTCAAATTTATGCCAAAGTACTTTTGTCAAGAATGAAAATAGTAAAAAGAAAAAAAGAAAAAGAAAGTAATTGTCCCCTAGATCTGTTTTTAAATTTTCTTATATCTTGTTTTTGTTAAACTTTTTGCAAAAAAAACATTTGAATCTTTAAATCCTTAAAGGCTCTTATTTATTTGTGTAATCTGAAAAAGTTTGAGGGTTATCTCATGATTTCCCTTGATACAGGAAGATTTCAGCCTTCCAGTCAACATTCTTGGCCATGATGTCTGTCCATTCCTATGCAGATATCAATTTGCCATAATTCCCCATTGAAAGCCAGAGATGCTTGAATTCTGTTCTTGCTCATATTTAATCATCCTTATTTATTGAAGTTTGTGCTCTTATTGGAAATTTTATTATGAAACTATTTATATGGGACGCATGAATCACAGAATTGATTAGTGTATTTCTCCAGCTGAATTTAACTAGGAAGTCATTTATTATGTGGCATAAATGGATATGATTCTTTTAAAAAAATAAAATTGTAGGTAGGCTTCCTGGGAATTAGTTATCTGTTATCTTTTCAATTTTAGCATCTCATCTTGCCTATATTCTCCTTTATGATTGTGTTTAAAAAGCTAAGGTGGTCATAATTTCTACTTACAGTTAGATGCCG